TATCGGAGAGCACGCATCACCTGGGACTCCTCCATGCAGGAGAAACTCCCCCGTGCCTCATTTCAGAAGATTCTCAGTGATGATAAAAGCCTGTATGAGTTCTTGCACAACTGGGAGGTGTATGGCCTGGTATTGATTAAAGGTGCCCCACTGTCGATGGGACAGGTCAGGAAAGTGGCAGAGCGCATTGCCTTCATCCGAAGGACTCACTATGGGTACGCCCAAGCATTTCTCTTCTTTCATTACAAACATTGGTCTTCTAGATTTCTGGTCATTCATCTGTAAAAAAAATTTTAGGGAAGAGTTTTCTGTGATTGCAAAGCCAAACCCCAGCAACGTGGCCTATGATGCAGGTCCCCTACAGCTTCATGCTGATCTTCCATACTATCAGTATAAACCAGGGGTAAGAATTCTGTTGATTTGATCTTGATTGAATTTTTTTTTTTATGTTTTCTTGTAGCTCCATTTCCTGCCTCTCCTCAAATTAACACAGTTAACAGTTGGAGTGCTCAATTAAATGTACTGCACATTCATGATCAAAACTATTGGTGTTGTAGAGTATACATTAACCCTACACTGCATGGTGTGCCAGATACAGCACATTCTGATTTGCATTGAAACACATTAAAATCAATGGAAAAACCAAAATGAAATAATTTTCCCCTTATTTTGTCATCAGCAGATTAAAAAATATATATAATTTTTTTCAATACATTAAAAGAAATACTGCATTGTAGGGTTAACATGAAAATTGTTATGGTTATATTTCACCTCAGATCCTGCAAAAAAGTCCTGCTTGTTGTGAAGATTTGGACTGGTTCTCATCTTGCTAAAGTGACAATTTGGCTGTCCTTTGAAGTGTTATTCTTCATTGGTCGTAGTGGTCGACTATTGGTAGTAGCCATATAAAACAATGTATGATTTAGAGGGCTGTCAATTGTCAAAAGGAATGTACTGCTATGTCATATGTTTGAATGTTATATGCATTATGTTTTTTGTGCATGTAGTACTTTACTCTGAGCAGTGAACTTTAAGCTCTCCAAGAGTCCTACTAGTATTACATGCATAGAGAATTAAAGCAGGATAGTCTTGCTATTGCAGATATATTTATAAAAAAATGTGTCACTAGGGTGCATATCAAGTAGCATCATGTAATGTCAATTATTTAATAAGGTAATCTGAGTTGAAGTATGTATGCAACAATGTGTTCTCATTGGGAGTGCATAAAATGTATTATAAATATGAGAATAGTCTATTTTTGTGGAAAGAATAGGATTGATGTGGCAGCTAGGGTAAATCACTTTCTGTTTAGAGAAATATTCAATGATTGATCACAAAATCCCCACTGATATATTGTTGCATGTACATGTCCAATTGCATTATCACATAAGTAAATCGACATTATTTGATGCTGCTTCATTAGCATGGCCCATTATTTTACTTATATATAAATTTGGAGGATAATCCTGCTTTCATTTTTCTAGTTTGGGGACTGGATATTACACAGTGTCTTGTTTGCCCAATGAGTGGTATGACCAGTGTTTCAATTGATTACTTTTACTCCAGTGGTTCATCAAGGGAGCAAAGATTGCAGTTCTTGAACCTTTTTAACTGCTACTGATGCATTAATGTGTCTGTGAAAGAAATGCCTGTCTACTATTAACATGTCTTTGTAGGTTATATTTCCTGCTCATTACTGCTATTGTGATGTATGTCCAATCATTAGTAGATTTGAAATGGATTCTACTGCCATTTATTGAGTTTTTCCTGGTACTTCATACTGCCTGCAGAAAAAACTCAGCACTGGGATTCAAACCACCTCCTTAAAAATAAGTTTTTAACAGCAGTTAAAAGGTGAAAGAGACTACTTTATTGTGCTTGGTGTGAAGAAGGAGTTGAAAATGCAAGTCTTCATCCCACTGAGTAAAGCTAGAGAAGTTTTGATGGAAAGTGTTTGCATTCTTGGTGCAGGCAGAGTTGCTGCACTGCATTGTCCAGGCTGAAGGATCGGGAGGAGCAAACACCCTTGTTGATGGTCTGCATTTAGCAGAGATGATGAGAGTGCAGGATCCACATAGTTTCAATCTTCTCTCTTCTGTGCATGTTGACTGGTCAGACATAGGTGTGGAAGATGGGGAGCCCTTCCATAAAATTCATCAGGCCCCTATACTCTGGTCAGTTGTTTCACCCCATACGATTCCTCTATTTTTAACACTGTTCAGTGCAACCTGTAATATTGATACATGAACATGCTCATTTCTTATGCCAGGTTGCCTTTCTCTTTTCAGTTTGCACCCAGTCACTCAGGAATTAGAGCGAATCAATTTCAGCCAGCCCCAGAGGGATTCTTTCTTCCGGATTCCACTTCACATTGTTGAGCCATGGTATCGGGCTTTGAAGGCTTTCCATGCCATGGCTATGGATCCCTCAAATTGTATGACTCTAAAGCTGAACCCAGGTGAGCTGCTCTTGGAAAGAGATCGCTTCTTTTTCACCACATTGTAAATCTTTAACTCTGCTTACTTTTCATGTGTTTTTGGCAGTGATGAAGCATTGTAGTCAGAAACGACTACCTTTTTCTTTCATATTGTTTCAATGTAAATATTTACTACATAGTTATTGGTTTCAATCAAGACATAGTCCTGAAATTTCAAAATTATAAGGAAAAAAAAAGTCAAGAAAATTACGAGTAGTAGAGTATCCAAAGTTCATATTAGTCTTGGTTACAATGCTCTGCCAAACAGGAAAATAATTATCAGAAAATGTGGAGATATTTCACTTACTTTCTTCATTTCCTTCATCTTCAAAATATTTTGCACTTGGGAGCAAGTTATGAAAACAATTCAACCTTGAACCTCTATAGGCTTTCTGCAGTTTGAACCTTGTGAATTAGAGTGAAAAATTGATAGCTTTCCATTGTAATACTTGAGGAATATCACTGGAATATGTACTCTTCAACATTTCTCAACATGTCTCAAATTTCCCACATTTTCACTCTAAATCATGTCAGTCATCCATGCATGGATTACTAATAAGCTCTTATCTTCCTTCCAGAGTGGACAATCCTATCAAGGAACTGAGTTCCTTTGAGTTTCATTATTTTGTGATGCCCTTGCTAACTGCTTAATGCTTCAAAGCTTAAAGATTCTTAATTATATTTTCATTCATTTTGGTGAACCTGATGACATGTTGATGTGGCTCTCTCTCTCTCTTTAAAAGGAGACATGCTGGCTTTTGACAACATCCGCATCCTGCATGGGAGGAAAGATTTCGGCACCCATTTGTCACGGCACATTGAAGGCTGTTACGTCGATTGGGACGAGGTCCGCTCCAAGTCCCGAGTCCTGGAAGGCGCTCTTGCTTCCTGAATTCCTTCCTCCCTCCCCCTCCCATTAATGTCACCATCTGTGACTTTAGAGCATTGTGCCAACTGCACAGCCCTTCCCCAATCTCATAACTCCTTGGGATGAGGACAGTGATGCTGTGATAGGAATGCAAAGATTTTTATTACTGTTTTTTTTTCTTTTTTTTAATAGAAGAGCTTGTCTTATTCTGCTGAGATTATTTTCCAATTTCTCATTTGGTGGAAGTTTTTTAACTGATTTTGTTTGACTTTTTGAGAGTATAAGACATTGACTTTTCCTGCTCAATTTAAAGTTTTCTCTATCACACAGTCATTTTACACCATGAATTTTGGCTGTCAAAATGATGAAACGTGGTCTCTAATTCCTATAACTCACCACTTGGCTTTGCACACAGAAAAGATTATTAAGAGTAACTCAGTGTTTGTGAAGAACTCATTATGAATAGGTTAAGGGCCTGAATAACCAGTCGAATGGTTTCGTAAAGGGAAGGTTTTCATCTTGTACCAAGTCCAAGATCCATTAAACCTCATCAATAATGTCCACTGCTTCAAGCTCCAGTCGGTTTCTGCGTGGAATGTCTCCAGGTGAGTGAGTGAAGCCCACCACTCCATTAGGTCTCCATCTCCCATTGCAGTTCTTGCATTGTCTCATGACATTCTAAAAAGTTAGAATGGGATGATTTATAGCCTAATCTGTTGAACGCATACCGCAATGCAGTGACGCATCTTACGGGGGAGGGGGGGGGGCGCCCTTGGAGGTAATTTTCTCCCCTGGTATCGCTCAGGTGGGGTTTGGCTTTATGCTGTCCTGGCCCCCCCCCCCCGACTCTTCAGCCAAAATACGCCACTTCCGCCATGAGAGGATACAGGGAGCATTGGGTTACACATCTCAGACGCCAAGAAGATACACGAACACAATTGCAGTACTCCATGGAAGCTAAAAGACAACCACCTACCCTAACGAGATAACTTCCTGACGTGGTCGATGAGAAGAATGTCCAATGAAGCACTTGCGACCGAACGAGGACTGTCAGTTCATCGTTTCTCCGTCTCTCTCCATCCGCCAAGGACCACCCCAGGCAAGCACGTCATCGGCACCCAACGCGCGACTGCAACGTCGTGACCTGTGACCTCGGTTCCTTCGGCCCGGGATCATCCAGGTGATGGCAGGTCATCTGTCACCACCGGATCTGGATCAGCTACCCGAAAAGGCGAAAAATTTCGCTGGTGACTAATTTTAATTTCATTGTTTCTGCCACTGAATTAAACAATAAAATCACAATTTCTATCAAATCTCACTCATATGTTATACTGATTCACATCTCTGGTTCAAGGCGAAAAAACGTACGAAACTTAAAAAACAAGTACGAAGTTTTACATTTTGCTTACTTCCCTCCGAGTACTTTTGCATGTACCGTATTTACTCGTATACGAGGCGCATTTTTATGCATATTTTATTGTGTTCGATGAGGAGGTGCGTCTTATACTCGGGGGAAAAAAATTATTTCGGCGTACCTTCAACTCATTGGCCACATATTGAGACGGAATACGCTAATAATAATAATAATAACGGATAATCATTTACTCGTGGATTTTTTTTGTTTTGTTTGGAGCCAATTCTTTCCGACGAAGAGAAAAATCCGACTCGTTTCGCTTCCTGAATCGATTTTCTTTCTCTGCTGCTGTGGAACTTCGCCGTGCTTTTCCATCCAGTTTCAAGGATAATAAATTTAATAAATAAAAAATAAATATATTTAATAAATATAAAAAACAGCATTCCTAACAAATGTTAGGAATGCTGTACACGAATTGGGACCCCAAAAGCGGGGGTGCGTTTTAGGAATGGTGGCGCACTATACTCGAGTAAATACGGTACTTTATAGTACTTTATGCAACCTGCCTCACTCGCCATAAGATGCATGGAATTTTTTTTGTTGTGGCTTTTTTTTACATAAACCCTTATGGTTAATGCTGGAGGCAAAATGCCGCGGGACTGGAAACTCAAGCTTTCAGGATTTCGGAAACTGCACACACCAACCTTGAAGTCCCCGTGGCTCAAAATAAACGACTCCTCAAACTTGGAAAACGAGTATCCCCGTCGTCTCGCTTTCCCCTAAAAACCAATGCTCGTGAAAATTCGAGCCCATTTCCCGCACGATCATGGAATGCATTTCGGCTCCAATTCGCGACACAATAAAAAAAAAGTAGAGGGGGGATACGGATACGTCTAGGTGGGGAAAGAACGAGGGTGAAGACCACTGAGCTCAGTGGTGAAGACACGACTGATGGTGTCGCCATATGGCACAAGGGAAACCACCCTTACTGACATCTAGCGGCATGGTGAGCAACTACCAGATGACCACGTGCGAATGCCAGCCATCCTCTGAAACCCCCGAATGAGAGAAAAACACCACGCTTTCGTCTTATTCCAACTTCTCGTTCCAGTTTATAACGGCACCGATTCCCGTGCGGGACGATGCACGTAAGGCATGTAAGGCCAGGTGTCGAAATCTGGCTTTCCCCCCCGTGGATTTAGAAGTGTTTTCATTGGATTTTCCGATTTCGTTTGAATGGACACGAAATCCTAAAGAAATTCTTGGACACCTTCAGCCTCCCAACTCAGGGAAATAATTGTCATTTCGCCAAAAGTGTAGCAGTGGGAGCGCATTTAATCCCAACTTCATTGTCCCTATTAGCGTTTTCACGCATTCAGTTCAAGAAAATTGGATCGCCTGCTTCTAGTCATATTGATTGTTCATTTCTGCCTTTCTGCCTCCTTGGTTCAATGTAAGGCGTGCGATTGTGGAGAAAATCGTGGTGGACCATCCCCATAATGGAACGTGCAATGTTTCACCGAAGGCCTAAGTGTTATGGAGAGGCATGAACACGTGTACGGTGACCTTGTAGGCCTAACGTTAAAGCTGGTATCTTGGCATACCGCTTAGGAGCCATTTATGGTTTTGACTTGAAGGACAGACCCGCAGAACGTGTTTAACTTGTGTGATGCTCGATACGTCACAGACCACTGGCACAAGGAGCTGAAACAGGAAAGACACAGGATGAAACATCCCACATGACTTGGTTCCCACTTGCATGAGTCCATGAGCCACGAGGATGCCTTTCGATGCATGCCATTCGAGGAGTGCAAGGAGGTCTGAACTATCAAGATGTGTGCCCATAGGCGCTTTGGTCATCCGGACCATCGAGTGCAAAATTGTTAAATTGTCTACATCGAACGTGTTGAGGCAAGAGAGGACTACGAGACGTCTCTCCGACCCTCATCCCACTATTGTGAGTCCAGGGGACACCAGCATAGCATTGAATTAACAATATCCAAAGAGTGCAAAAATGACAGCACATATTCAGTTTGTTGTCTTTCTTCCCCTCGCATCGACCCTCATTCAGTCTCGTGACCTGCATTCGGTCATCCCGAACCTTGTCTGAGAACTTATAGGATGTTTTATCTTTCAGGTTACTTGACAGGAGAGGACCAGACATCACCGAAGCAGGTCATGACTTCCTACAATATTCCAAGACAGCAAGGACCACAGAACCAGCACAAATCCAGCTTGCTTCCTGTAGGTGATGGTTGTAGGTCCATATATCTAAGTGTTCTTCATGGCCATTGCCTGCCTCAATGGCCATGACTAGGTATTTACCTGCTTCAAGTTTTGCCAAGGTTACTTTTCACTGAGGCAGTTCAACATTCAACATTCCTTTGTATTCTGGATTTGCTTTCCTTTTGTATCTTTTGATTTATATTAATTTATATTTAAATGTGTTATATTACTTTAAAAAAGTTAAGTTCTGCTTACAGAAGTAGTATATATTTTTTGGAGGCTCTGTTTAATGCCTACAAATAAAATCAAGTACAAAAATTTAAACTAATTTTTGCTACATGTATCTCCATCTGCTACAGCTACATGCATCTGGATGAGCAGGTTTAACTAGAGATGTGGAAAGCGAAAAAAATGCAGATATGGTTGCCAATGCTGGCTTCGAGGGGATGAGGAATGCATGTCTCCACTGGAGCAGATGCGATGCTCAGGGATTGAAGAAGGCTGTGCCTGGCATCAGGACTGCTCCCCTGAATGGTAGGAGACCCTCTTGTTCCTGGCCAACCCTGCTTCACAAGGGGTTTATAGCCAATGTGGGGGGGGTCTGCTCATTATCTTAGATGCCAAAAGGGAATTGTTGCAAGTATTGCTTTAATGCTCATACTTGTACCAGGACTTGTCTGAGTTTTCCAGGTGTCTCTGGTTCATCTCATGAATGAGATTCCTTTCATGTGAATTACTTGGGGAAGTCTGGTCCTGTTTGATCCAAATGATAGTTATTTGACCTCTGGTGAAGCTGAATACACTTCACCTGAGACCAGGGCAAGCTTGGGATATCCCCACAGCAAGTTTTGGAGTCTGAGAGAAAGTACTTAAAGAGACTCAGACCCATCAGCGAGAAAGTTCCTGGCCAACAGAACCTGGAAACAAGTGAGATTCCAGTTGATATCTGTTCATGTTACCCTTACCTGTCCTGGCAGCAGATGGTACATCAACAGTTCTTAAGTTCTGTCTCAGTACCCTGAGGAGAGTGACCTTTTCAATTTTTTGCCAAAACTTTTTCCTGTTGATAGTCTAGTTGACACATGACACATTAGTTTGGGATTCAGATCAACCAAAGCAGGAGAAGTGCAAGGAACCCAGAACATTGTGTGACAACATGAGAAATTCCCATGCCTCAGACTTGGCTTTGGAAAGTTGTGCTATTGTCATTGAAGACAGGAGAACATTCCATCTTGAATCCATGTTGTCTGCATGTTGAATCCATTATGTTTTGTTAGTGCTCTGTCCCATTGAAATCTCAACTCCAGGTCCTGCAATCTAGTCAGTATCTCATTCCAGATGTCTGTGCTGTCTGAACTCTGTGATCTCTCACAAAAAAGAATCTCCAAGAACCTCTCAGTCCCAAAATAGATCAGCACCCATCTGTCTGCCTTTCCTGCTAGGGTGTGCCATACAATATGCAGAGAGACATGCAGATGATTATGAGCTAAATTTATGATGGAGAGGTTTCCTCAGATTCTGCCCTGGTAAGGGAGAGTGACTTTATTGTTCAGCTGTAGAGTGACTGGAAGGTTCAATCCTCTCTTGTCTTCCTTGATGCAACCTAATCCAACTGGTGATTGATCAGTGAAAGG